GATCACGTTGTGCGTAGATTGCTTCACAATCTGAAGCTTGATGATGCCACGTTGGAACATCCAAAACCTGAAGCTGAGAAATGGATCCGTTGCCTCTCGAGGCATGCCAAAGATCATAAAAGGACTGATGTTGTCGAGTACTTAAGAGAAATTATGCCAACAGGGACAGCAGGTAAGGATAATTCATTTCTTCCTCTTTTTACTAAGGGAGATTGAGACAGATTTGTTCCATGCATTAATTAACTTAAGAGTAACGGCTTCACAAAAGTGAGGAAAGTTTCACCCACAAAACTACTGACAAGTTCGCGCTTAGATATATGTAGCAGGCTGGAGGAAATACATTGTGTATCAAATGATAAAGACAAACAAATCAAACAGAATTAGGTATCTATCTCTTTTTATTTCCAATATTCCGGTGTGTTCCGTTGCAAGCTGAAGCAGCGAGTGGTTCTGTAGAGGGTTTTCATAAGGCATTAGGAGGAGTCGGAAAGCTTTACTAAACGGGTCGTATAATAGGTATTACAATCCTTCCTCTGACATTCTAGATGGAAATTTGATACTGGCTAGCATTACACCCAACTGGTTTTAATTTATTTGTTTGCCTGTTTGGTTTTTGTGTTTTTCCTTCTCCGGCTTGGAAAGTGACGTTCTGACCAAAATTTTCGAAACTGCCGAGCAAAGAAATTCACATGACTGGAACTCATTAGTCTCAGACAACCACCCATTGGTATGCCTTTTGTTGTCGCGAAACTTGTTGTCATACCCTTTCCTGTGTGTATTTCGTTTACGCGTTAATTTCGCAGTCAGTGTTTGTACCTTTCATTCGTTGTGTTGTGTACTTGTGGTTCATGTTTGTACCGTTACGTAATGTTACGTAATTATGTCAAGTAATTTGTCAGGCTTTGTGAATAAAATTTAGTCTTGTGGACAAATGTTTACGTCCACCTAAAATATCCTTTCCTACTCATATTTAGTTGCTGTAGGAGATTCGATTTTTGAAACAAATGGATGAGCACAATCGCATGGGACTTCGGTTACACCTTTAAAATCTACTTTTTGAAATACTGCTGTTCTTTTTTCCAGGTCCATTGTTACCTGAAGCCCTTCCGGTTCAAGATATTCCTGAGAGTCAGCTTATGAGACTGACAATTACTCTAGGCGTTGAGGCTTTGTAGCAAAGGATCAAATCATCTTTACATTAGAGGGGTGTTCAAATTGTTGACGATCCCAAATAAACTCACTTCACTTCCTCCCTACCTTCCCCCTTCTTTCCTCTCTCTTCCGTACTCACTTATTTAGCATCGCTCATTAATATATTTATAATCTCTTTCTCTCTAATTCTCAGATTACTTGAGAGCATATTCACACTTTCATGCTATTTCTGTTTTCATAAAATTATATATAGGAAAATTTGGAGATCATGAGAGAAGAATAGTTTGTCGAGGCGTAGGTAAGAGCAATTCCCGGCTAGCCTTAACAATGCTTTCACTTCAGTATATTACATTTCCATCTTGGAACTCAATAATTAGAACCTTAGTGACGTCTTTTTGAGTGCTCATCAATCGAACAAAATCCTTCATCAGGGATGTGTTTGATCTAAAGAACAATCCACTACCTAAACTAAGAAACCCCAGAACAGTTCTGTTTCTTCAGACGTAGTTCTCGGTCTAGAAACAGATCTCTTTTTCAGCACTCAAAAGTACTCGGATATTATTTCGGCATTATCATACTTGGATATTATTTCAGCGCTCAAAAGTACTCGGATATTGCATTTGAACTTGTAAATGGAGGGGTCAAATAAACCCTGCTAAAAGGGAGCCGGCATGTAATATCCCTCCATTTGATCTTGTGGACCTATCGTAAATTCAAATGTTTTGTTTCCATAATAATTAAATTTGTGGTTAGTTATGTGAAAAATATAATTGGAAGGAAGGAAGAAGGAATAAAAGAAAGAGTGGTTAGAGCAAGGGAGAGAAAGATAGAGAAAGAACGACTCTTGAAGAAAAGGGCCATCCTGTAACGATAATCAACGACTTGGTTTTTGAGAAAACAAGAAGAGTTCTTCAGTCCAAACAAAAGCGGCTAAGGAGCAAGGAAAGGGAAATAAACTCAAATCATCGGTAACTTTGACATGCGCAGAATTAAAAACATTGTAAAAGAAAGGTTTGTCTCCTGATATATTTAAACCATTTTCAATTTACACTTTTCATCGCTGCATTTGTGCAAAATAAGCTGAGCGCAACGAACGATTTAGTCTTCTGAAAAGTATCAACCTCGATGTGTTGCCGATAAGTTCTATCTCTTTTTATAAAATAAAATCCTTTTTTTAAAATCTGTACTGAAATCGAGATATTGTCTGAAGAAGGGTGATTTCTCAGTTGAATTATTCTTATTGAAACTGTCGTATATGTGGTCTTGTCCTCACTTGTCTTTAAATGTTTACTTCAATTAGCTGCAATACTGGTAAAAATTGCACTGTCTCTCAGAAATTAAAAAACCGATAAGAAAAGAAGGAAATACCGAGGTACTTATTCATCCACCAACTACCTACTAGTATATATTTGATCTCAAGATCATCGTTTAAATCCCAAATAATATTTGTCGAAAGATCACGGGATATGTTCTTTAAATTTTAAATATCAGAACATGTCCAATACCGAGAAGGAAACACACACAGCCGAGGTTTAAAAACTTTTCACGGTGAATTTCCTATTGAAGCCTATTAGTGACAATAAGTTTGATTGTGGTTTTCCACAACAACAAGATTGGCCTTACCTTTGCCTCCACTGGAAGATCTTGTTTCATCAATAAATCTTCCACTTCAAGTAAAATGGTTGGATAACCTTAACCACTGATCGTATCCCGCTGATAATAGTAGTAGTAGTGACTTTATTTCACGAGGGTAGCACATGGCAGTAGGAACAACTGATAACCCAGTGGCCCTCGAAAACACTAAAAAATTATATATAGTATACTAGAGCTACCTAACTTAAGCAAAAAGACCTTAAAAAATTAAAAATATGTATAATATCGTACAAAGTTAAAAACTCAAGTGCTATTTCTGAGTGACTAAATTTTTTTAAAAAGCGTTGTCTTAAAACGTGAGTAACTGCCCAAAACTCTCAAAGATCTAGGTAAAGAGTTCCAATCCCCTATAGCTAATACAACGAACTTTAAAAGAGCGACCACCCTCCGTAGCATTGCTATATCTAGGACAAAAAAAATTTAAGGTACAATATCTTGTGTTCCTCGTATGCACGCTAGAATATAAAATATCGTTTAGGTAATTAGGGGTGTTTCCTTTAAGTCTGATCTCCTGTAAATGGGTGCACATCGATTTATGTGCGACTCCCTATCAAAAAGGAATCCAATTGAGAGTATTAAACAAGTCCACGGATCTTGAATTTACAATGCAGTGGCAGATCGTTGATGAAGAGGATAAATAATATGGGCCCGACAATTGATCCCCGAGACAAACCCTGCTTAACCGGCATAAGAGACGATTTCAAGCCGTTTACATTTACGCATTGACGTCTGTCAGAAAGGTATGATTTAAACCAATTTACAGTTTCCACAGTTCCACCACATAAACCAATCTTATCAAACAAAACTTTGTGGTTAACAAAATCAAAGGCCTTTTTAAAATCCAGAAAAATAAGGCTAGACACGTTATCTTTGTCCATATCAAAAAGCAGATTATCGGGGATTTTTATGAGGGCCGTCTCCGTGGAATGATTAGGGCAGAAACCGGACTGTGTTCGATAAATTAGGTTGTTTCCTTGTAAAAATGTAGGGAGAGACATTGCAAGATGACGTTCGATAATCTCTGAAAGAACTGTAAGAATCGAAACTGGTCTATGATTATTTGGGTTATCGCACGGTCCACCTTTATGAATCGGAATCACGTCTGCAATCTTCCAGCTTGAAGGAAAAACACTGTTCGCTATGGAAATATTAATAATTTTGTACAAAGGGTAGAGAAGGTGTGATGAACAAACTTTCAGGATGCGCGGGCTGAGGCCATCATGACCCGAAGCTTTGTTACTCGCAAGTAATTTAAAGATTTTCAAAACCTCCATTTCAGAAATTAGCGGAATACTATAAGAAGCCCCAGAGTCCGATCTTGATGAAATAAAGTTTCTCAGTTTGGAGTAATCACACTCCTCCACATTGTCCACATTTAAACTTGCAATAGATTCCACAAAGAAACTAACTGATTAAAGATTCCGCAATCCGTTTCCGGCTCAGAGACAGAGTGACCATTACAGTTCAAATTAGAGATTTTCGGAAGAGGTTTACTAGTTCCACCAAGCTGTTTTAGTAAACGCCAGATCACCTTTGAATTTACTTTATTTTGATCAATTGATTGGCGAAAAAAGTTACCTTTTGTTTTCTTGATGAAGTTGTTTCGTTTTTCATGCGTCCATAGCAAAACTAATCATCCGTAAGATTCCATCTACGTGCTCTTTTTAGGTGCTTGTCCCTTTCTTTCATAGCTTCTTTAATATCGTTACTCATCCAGTCTCGGCGCGAGGAACATTATTCTAAATTGTTTGATTCAATCATGTAAACCATTATAACATGGTATATCATTGTAAAATATTATGCAATTCAGCCCCTTGACTGCGATGTAATATTTGTTTTTTTTTTAACTATTAGACGGAACGCAACAGAACTCGGGATGACCTCAGAAAGTGAAAATCGTGTATTTCAAAGAAAACCAGAGGAAAGAAAACAACTTGAAGGTACAATTAACTTATTTATCCAATTGATTTCCGGGCAACGTTCATTTCATAATTCCAAGCTGAAATGAGTGACGTCAATAACAGTTAAAACAATTATCATTTCAAAGGAAAGTATGTGACTCACTTTTTTCTCGAGATAGAATCAGAAATGTAGGAGTTACGATATAAATTAACAAGGGCATAAAGAATCATGCATATTACCCAGCTCTAGCCGAATTTTTCTCTCATAACCCTTGAATAAGCACTACATTCATCTTGTTGGATACGATTTTTATTCAAGGTAGTGTATTTCATATAGTACTTTCCCTCAGTATGCGGCTTTTAATCGAGGGCAGTGTTTAACGGAGTAACTAAGCTACCTGATTCAGATATAAATTTTTAATAATATATATTACTTGATGGTTGAACCAGTTGCTAACATATCCTTCAAAGTGAAAGAGAACTACTGGTTTCAAAGCAAGTCAGCTAGGATAGGCATCCCACAGTCTTTCAAAACGTCATAAAGATTTCCCACAGTTATGAGATCTTTTTGTGAAGCGTGAACCAAAACTTCAAGCACTTGATTTTTCGCGCGCTTGTCCAAAAAACGTATCTCTGCGGGGGTCAGTCCCAGTTTTTCAGCAAATATCTCCCAATCCTCTCGCCCTACAAGAATAGATATTGAAGTATGTTCAAAAGATATTGCCGTCTACCCTCCGCTTCTTCATTTGCAAATTTCTGCTAAATTTTTTTAAAACGCCAGGTTTATGTTTCCAGCTACAATGCAAGAACATTGCTTAAAATTGTTTTTCTGTTTGGCATGATTTTTTCCAATGACACAGATTAGTCATAAAAAGGCAAGATGAAGGCGAGAACAAATTTTTGTTTTGTTCCTCTCTTCTTTTACTTTGATCTGCTCTTTCCCTTCCCCCCTTCCCCCGCTTTTTCTCTCCCGTCCTGCCCTGTCAAATTTTTTGCCTTTTCTCTTTCTTCCTTTTTCAATTTTCACGAGGCAATTCAGTTTTAACTGGTAAGGGCAAAATCATTTGAGTGAGCGATAGGTCCACCAGATTAAATGTAGAGATGTTGCTTACAGGTTCCTAAGTAAAAAGAGTATCTCTCGTCCAGAGGAGGGGGAAGGGGTACAAGAATTATTTCCGGGGATATGATGACAGTAATAAGAGAGAGAGGTTGTAAATGCGTGAGTAAGTGAGGGCATGTAGGTCGAGAGAGAACAGCTGTAGGGAAGGAAGGCAGGAAGGAGGGAGAAGGAAGGAAGAAACAAAGAGAGGAGAAGGGAGGGAGAAAGGAAGGAGAATGGAAGAAGGAAACACAAAGAAGGAAGGAATGAAGACGAAGGAAGGAAGGAAGGAAGGAAAGAAGGGAGGAAGGAAGGAAGGAAGGAAGAGAAGAAGGAGAATGAAGGAGAAGGAAGCGGGGCGGGAAGGGAGCAAGGAAGAAAGGAAGGAGAAGGCTTTTGATTTGAAAACGCTTTTGATTCGAAACACTCATCTAGCCCCTATTATGTGAAAATGTCTTAAGCCTTTGATACCATGAGAAAGCCTCACCGCTGAGGGTAATTGTCAGTTCCATTAGCCGACTTTTAGGAATTTCTTGGACTAGGAGGGTTTCAGGCAGCTTTGGACCTGAAATGAACAACAGCAGTATTCGTGAAAGGCAGACCACTGGCTGGTGGTCTGAAACTAAACTTGGAGGGTCTAAATGGGGTTAACCCTCAGCCGTAAAACAGCGAACTTAGTCAGCTGTTAGGTGTAAAAAATGACGACCTTTAACCATTCATCATTAAAAAAAAAGGTTAACCGTATTATTATTTCTTTTACAGGGGCGGAAAGAAATTAACCGCTAGCCGTAAATGTATCCAAAATTTTAACCGTAGGCCGTAAAGGTCATCATCCCTCTGAGACTCTTAATTTACAGATGTGCGTTTTACTTTACTCAGCAATTTCGAAGGTTTTGGTGGAAAATAAAGAGGCAAAGTTATTTAACTTTTTTAAACGAAAAATAAATCAAAACCGTTTTTTGGATATTTGCTAACTAATTTCCACATGGGAAGGCGAATGAACGACCTGTTCAGGCATCTGGCGTGTTCTAACTCCGTATAAAAACACTTTTTAGAACGACTCACCGTCTCCGCTTTCTTACCTGTTGTCCCTGCTGGCGCAACTTCTCTTAAATAGGTAAAAACGTCAATCCTGCTATGTTCTTTAGCATTCCTCGCAAGGCAACGGATCCATTTCTCACTTTCAGGTTTTGGATGTTCCAGCGAGGCGTCATCAAGATTGTGAAGCAATCTATCTACAACCTCTTTTGGAGAGTCTAATGTTGACTGGAGAGATTCGCTAACTTTGTGAGGCAGAACGAGAGATTTGTCATTATTCCCTAACATATCGAAAAAAACCACAGAGATAAACAAAATGTGCCACAAAGAAGAAATCTAGCATTATCGCCCAAAAAAAGTGAAAGAACTTGAGGTAAAAAAGGGCAACCTGATGCAGAAATGGAAGGAACGCTATGAATGATCGGCCTTAGGGGTAATGCACATTGCACTCAGCTTAAAATTAAACAACCAAAATGATTAATGGCCAAGAGTCTGAAGAATCAGCAGCCACGGAATCAGGAACTGGCTCGTAGACGGCGGAAGCAGCAACTGGCTCCACAGATACGATGTTTCCAACGGTTGCAACTGTCGCACTGAACTCCTTGCATGTTGACGCGCTCGGACTAGCCTCTTATATGACATACACTTTGAAGACATCGTGGATTGAACTCGTTTTCTAGTGGTGATCGTGATCGTAGCTTGATGCTTTATGATTGCTCGCAATAAAATACCCCTTTTATACACAGCCACGGAATCAGTGTGTCGCGAAGTTCTGATTTCTCATCGGTTAATGCTAATGATGTTTGCAAACTTATTTCTCACTTTTAGAACATTCCGTAAAAGATCACACACTAATTAGCTGATATTGATGAGAATGTCACATGTTAAACAACAGATATGTTTGTGGTGAAGGTGATACTGTTAGCCACCTTTTACTGGCGACTGACATGGGACATGAAAATATCTAAATTAATAGTTCATTAAATGACGTGTATATCTTGCTTAACAATCTATTAAGATCGCTCGCGCGCCCTTGAAAGAACAAATAAACCCTCATGTAAGGGACTCACGAGGTGTACTCTACTTTTTTAATTATCAGTTTTCTTACATCAAACAGCAAAATACGTCACACTGGACAGTATTTGTATTTGAATGATCTTTTTTAATACACTTCGGACTGTAACGTTATAGTTTATTCCACGATCATTTATTCCATCATCGCTATACATCATACATCGGTAGCCTGGTGGCTAATCTGAAGGACAGAGAGAATACGACGTACTCGAATCGTTGCAAGACACATCATCACGTATAATCTTTAAAGATCAGTGGCAAGTAATACTTCACATTACAACATGGAGCGAAGTAACTTACGCTGTGAGCGAAGTAACTTATTTGATGGAGCGATCTAGCTTTCGAGTGGAGCGATCTAACTTTTGGTTGAAGCGATCTAACTGCGAGCGATTTAAACACGGTGCAATCAAACCGGATACCAGAAATTCGACGCGGAATGGCGAAATAAATATTATCTCACCCAAACGGACAAAGGCTCATGGTTAAGGCAATCTTCGCTGCTAGAGCTCGATAAGCAACCATTAAGTTTTGCTGTGGCGTGCTTTAAGCCGCAACAAATAAGAAAATATCAGAAAATCCCCACACGGTTTTGAAGATTCAACTCCTCAGAACTGAAATTGTGCAGAAGTTTTATTTGTGTGGTCAGATTTGATATTTGATTAATTCGCTCAAAGAAACATCGTCCATTTTAGATGGTCGCGCCCCATTTGAATTAAGATAAGATCAACCTAAAGCAAAATTACTTTTTCCGATCGAATAGTGTTTTTCATAAACATTTCATTGATATCTAGTTTATGTTCGCTATGTTTTAATAGCACGTAATTCTTTTTATTTTTTGCGAAGGACATCCGCGAAGGTCTACCATATCCTTAAATGAAGGAAAGCAAAGAAGATAATTTAAGACCAGCAATGTAGATATCAAGC